CCGGGTCATGAAGCTCGGCACTAGTCGACCTACCCAGCCCGTGATTCGGCGTAATGGGTGTGTCGGCTGGTTTGCAGCCCAAGAGACCAGCTTCATGAAGAATGTATAGTGCATATTTCCGTTGACACAGAACAATACCCTCCGCAGATCGAGCACACTCAATACCCAAAAAATAAGATAAGGGTCCCAAGTCCTTCAGGTGAAAGCAGCGATCAAGATAAACCTTAAAAGAAGCACATAATGTGGGGTTGTTACCTGCAACCAAGATGTCATCAACATAAACCAAGACAACCAAAATGTCAGATCCTCGACGATGAATAAAGAGAGTGTGATCTGCATGTGCCTGACGAAACCCGTATCGCCGAAGGGCACAAGTGAGCTTCCCGAACCAGTTTCGGGGGGACTGACGCAAACCATAAAGAGATTTGCGTAGTCGACAAACCTTGCCTGGATATAGCTGAGAAAGTCCAGGTGGCAGCCGCATGTATACTTCCTCAATCAGATCACCATGAAGAAAAACATTATTAACATCGAGTTGGTGCACCACCCATCCCTTTGCCGCGGCTACAGAGAGTAAAACACGAACAGACCCCATTTTTGCTACCCGGGCAAAAGTATCAGTGTAATCCACCCCCAAAGTCTAATGATTTCCAAGAACAACCAAACGGGCCTTGTCCCGTTCTTTAGTGCCATCCGAATTAAACTTGGTCTTGAAGACCCATTGGCAGCCCAAAGCTGTCCGATCCGGAGGCAAGTCTAAGATTTCCCAAGTGTTGTTATTGACCAAAGCTCGGAGCTCCGTGTCCATTGCCGCACGCCAATTGGCGTGTGGGACTGCCTCAGAGTAATTTTTAGGAACAAAATGAGGGCTGATGGCGCCAAGAAATCCTCGATACCTGTTATGCAATTTATGATAACAAACAAAGTTGGCAATAGGATAACGTGTACCTGAAGACGACGACTAGGAAAGCAATGAGCACAATGGAGCGGGAGTTTGAACAGAATTGACGATGTAATCACTAAGATGGGATGGCTGACGACGCTGCCATTGAGGACGAAGCGGAGGGGCGGCGGCTGTATGGGGGTGGGGCTGGGCGTCGGTGGGCTGCTCGGTGGCAACTGTCGGCTGGACAGGCTGGTCGTTAACGACGGTAGCCGGAAGTGGGGCGGGCAGGGGTAATTCGGGAAAGTCGGCATGTGGGGTGGAGGTAGAGGGTTCGGCCGGTGTGTGATGTGCGGCAAACGGGAACGTGCTCTCGTCAAAAGCAATGTCCCGAGTGTGAAAGAAACGATGAGTATCAAGGTCATACACACGCCAACCTTTTGTGCCGGAGGGGTACCCAACAAACATGCACTTGGTGCTTCGAGGAAAAAATTTGTTGGATGTCCTGAGTCGTACAAAACATAGACATCCAAAAATTCGAAGATGACTAAGATCTGGTGCTTTGTGATTTAGAACTTCAAATGGAGACTTACCACCAAGTAGTTTGTTGGGAGTACGGTTAATTAAATAAACAGCAGTACGAACACATTCCCCCCAGAATTCAATAGGTAAGTGAGCTTGAAACATAAGGGAGCGGGCGACATTTAATATGTGTCTATGTTTTCGTTCTACCCGACCGTTTTGTTGTGGAGTACCTACACAAGAAGTTTGAACAAGAACACCCAAAGTGGCATAATATGACCGAAGGTCTTGATTGACAAATTCGGTGCCATTATCAGAACGAACAATTTT